TCTAATTACTATCGGAGTCAGATCCCTTCACTCGTTCAGCAAGCACTAGGTGATTGTACAGCACTGTCCCCAACATCTGTGAGTGCTGGCTGCATTATGCACTGTCCTTGGCCCTGGAAAGATGGAGAGGGAGGTGGAGTCACATTCTGATGGCACAGAAACAAATGAGACAGCCCCACAGAGAGGGAAGGGCTGTGCCGAGAGTCCAAGGTGGGTGTCACGAGAGAGTGGCTGGAGGCGGCTATTTCTCCAAAGACGACTCGAGGTAGGTGTCTCTAAGGGATCCAGAAAGAAGAGCAGAGCCCTGGGAGGGTAGCAGAGCAGAGAGTGTTGCTGGCAGGGGGAACAGTAAGGGCAAAGGCCCTGAGGCAGGAATAAGAGCCAGGGGGATGAAGGGACAGAAATCCGCAACCAGGGTGGCAGGGATGCGGGCAGGACATATGGACAGGATGCCTTCAGAAAAGAGGAAGAGAGGGGCTGGTGAGATGGCTCAGTGGTCTAAAGCACCTACTTAGAACAAGCTAAGTTAAGCAAAGCACAGGGACCACAGTTCAATCCCCCAGCACCACATGCCAGCCAGCACTGCCCTCTTGTGGGCTGAGCTGGCCACACACACACACACACACACACACACAATAAATAAATAAATAAATAAATAAAAAGAAAAGAGGAAGAGATCCACCTGGTGGGCCTCCCAATCCATGGGACAGTTTGATCTGTTCAAGAACAAAAGGAGATCACTGGTGGATTTTGTAATAATCCTGTCTTCAGACCCTTGTGAGCTGGACTCTAGAATAATTCCAGGGCTGGCAGGTATGAGAAGACTCAAAATAGCACTGGAAGTTAGAGTGCTACTCCATGGTCACCACACACTTGGTTCTGGCCGGATGCAAACCAGAAGGTGACAGCCGTGCCAAAGGCCACCAGCTCCTGGGTGCTGTGCTGGGATCTGAGCCTACATCTGATGGCTGACCACTGCAATTGCTCCACCTCCCTGGGTAACCGTCTCTATATGTGGCCAGGAAGTGGCAGAGGGGTGGAGTCCCTGGCATTCTCAGTTCCATGTGGGTCTTCAAGATGGCCCCTGGGGCCCTGGTGGAGAGGACCCCCTTCTCCAAACCTTATAGGCAAGGGGACACATCAGGCTAACTTTAAAATCATCATCATCATCATCATCATCATCATCATCATCATCATCATCACCTCGAGGACTCATGGGCCAACCTGTCCTTGAATTCCCAGCCTTCTTATCAGCTTTACTGCTGAAAGCCTCAGTCTCTTGCTGTGGCCAGCAAGAGTTATTATTCCTACCTAGGAAGCCTGTCAGGAGGATCCAGGCGGGTGACATGTGTAGGAGCCAGCCCCGGCCCTGGCAGGTGCTCCCACCTGACACGGGGAAGGAGTCTCACAGTGGGCAGGACTCTGCCAAGCACAGAGCCCTTCTTCCCTCCTCTGCTGTCCCTTTCAGGCTGACCCAATGCCGGAGCCTCCTTGGGTCACTGCTTCTGTGGCAGGTGACTTCCCTGTTCAAGCAGAGGAGATAAGACCCTTTACTCTCAGCACCAGGTAGCCTGGCAGGCTTTTTCCCCAGCTGTCTTCACATCCTTGCTTCCTCTGTCCAGGAAGAGGACGAAAAGAAACAGCCCACTGCAGAGTGGGAGGTACTGTTCTCGCCTCACGCCGTCTGAGTGCCACCAAGCCCCTGCTGCCCTGAAGCGTCCCGGACCCACCCCTGCCTCAGCTGCTGGAGCTCTGGCTTTTGGTAACTTGATTGCAGCTCAGTAGATTCCTGCTGGGCAGCTTTTCTATGAAAGAGATAGTCAGGCCTGCGAGTGAACTCCTGCCTACGTCCCCAAGGCCCGCGTCAGCTACGCCTTGTCCTCTGTATACACACACAAGCCTTCTTCTCAGCCCCTTGTAGATCAGTGGTTGCCATCTGCGGAGTGCCGTTGACAGCTTCCTACACCACACCTGTTTGCCTCCCTAGCTGAGAAGGGTGGGACTTGTGAAGGACAGAGATCCTCGAGTCCACGTAGGCAGACACAACCCAGAGACTGCAGTGGAGCGTGCTGCCCACAGACCCTGCGGTTTTAGTGGGTGAAATGCAACACTTGATTTGATCAGCTAATGTTCAATGAGTGTGTTGTACCGCAGAAATTGTCCTAGGAGGTAGGATATAAAGTTGGTGAGATTTGGCCCTGCTGTTGAGGAGGTTATAGTCATGAGAGGAGACATGGGCACCTATTCCAGCCTGGGACAAGTGCAGAGAAGATTCTACCAAAGGGCAAATGATGGGCTGGGGTCTTGAAGGATGAATATGAGTTTGGAAAGGATATGAAGAAGAATGGAAAAATTAGAGGAAGAGGGAGTAGTGCTGATAGGATCAGGCAGGGACATGAAAGAGTAAGGCAGCTTCGGAGATTCCCAGAGTTCTCAAGTGAGAGCGACAGGAGGCAGAGTCTGCAGAGGTGGGCTGGGCCGTAGGGCTGGCTGGAAGCAGGGGTGTAGGTGTGCATTAGATGGGTGGAGAAAGTGGTGAGGGAGAGACTGCGAGGAGGGTGCTGCACCTGGACCCCACCAACAGCGGCACGTAACAGAAACAAAGGAAAGAAGGGAACAGAGGGAAGCAGGGATAGCTGCAGAGCACACCCCCACTCCTTGCTGCGTGTCATTGACCCCCCTGCTGTCCTCAGTTCCCTACCTCAGCCTTCCTGAGTGCTCTGCCCGCCCTGCCCTCCCAGCAGTGATAGCGTGCTGCTTCCAGAGAGCTCATCCCTTGTCTCCCTTGTTCTGTGAGGGCCGCCACAGCACACGGGTGCCCTTGGGCCCAAGGGTGGGTCAGAGGCACCTTTTGAGGGCTTCAGAGTCTTACAGTTCCTAACGTCTGGCAGCCCTGAAGCCCAGCTCTTCCCAGCACTGGAATTTTCCTCACTAGTGTGCTGGGGACCACAGCAGTTGGTGCCACAGCCCAGTGTCAGGACGTGAGCTGTTGTCACTCACAAGAGCCCCATGCGTGCAGGCTCAACACTCTTCCCCTGGCGTCTGGAAATTCAGCTGTGATTTCACAGCTGTCTGGTGTCCTTGTTCGCACCAGGCCATGTTCACTGAGCAGCTACCCTGCAGCTGGCCCACAGAGCCACCCTTGCCTTAGAGACTGAGTGTCTTCCCCGTGCCCCTGGGCCCACCCCTGGCCACACTCTGCAGGGTTCCCTGTCATCCTACAGCCCTTCATCATTCCTGTGCCTGTTTGCCCAGCTTCATGGGTGGAGTGCTGCAGTCAGAGGTGTCTGTGGGCAGCTCAAAGCCCCTGCTTCAGTCCTGACCTTCTTCAGGGCTCCACCTAGCTATCCTTAGAGCTGCCTCAGAGCCTGTGAGACACAGACGTCCAGCTGCTCCCTCGCAAGTTACTGGGCCCAGCTCCCCAGGGCCAGCCCGAGTGTCTGTTGTTAGTGACCCCTAAGCACCAGTTCCTTCATCTCTGCTGTGATGAGCAGGCCACCATTATGGTTTAAATCTAAACATCCCCAAAGGCTCATGTGTTCAGAGGCAGGGCTTTTGAAGGGGACTTGATCATGGGGCCCTAAATCTGCACCACAGCACTGGTGCAGCTACCTGGTGGATTTCTGCCACCCTTGTTCATGTGAGGTGTCAGGAAGCCCTTCCCCTCCAACGGGATGAGCTATCCCCTCTTTCCATGCTCCCCAGCACCCAGGGTTCCCTTTCTTCTAGCATCTGTCACATTGCCCAGCAGTTTGTCCCACAGCCCAAGAGCTCCTAGGGAGCTACTGCTGTCTTTCTAGGTAGCATCAGTGACACCCAGGCAGTGCCCCTTCTTCCATGCCCCCAGGTGCCTGGAGGTGACATAGCTCTGTGAGCAGGTGGTCTGCCCGTCCCTGCAGCCTGGGCACATGATTGGCACTCTAGAGCCTCTGCTCTGTGCAGCCACAAGCCCATGGTACTGTTGTCCCCACAAGTACAGCCCTCCACACTCATCTTGTCCCTGTGAGACTCCTGCCTACAGGGCTCCATCCTGGCCCTGTGGACACAGCCCTGCCTGAGCTCTTTTCCCCGCTGGAGTCCTCAGACACAACAGGTATCTGACAAGGTCACACATTGGACTTGTGAAAAAAGTCCATGTCACCGACAGCTTTCCTCGTCAGAAAAGAAGCTCCTTCCAGTCTCTTCCCTTCTAGAAATGGCCAGGGCTGGCTGAAACATCACTGCTAGGCTACTTGTACTACCCACCAGTCACCCCCCAGGAGGTTTGGGTTTTGAGTATTTTTCCTATTGCTACAGTGATTGTTTTCCCCATTCACTAAAGGCAGCTGATGGCCACACCTAATGGCTTCTTTAGTGTGGACCAAATACTCATACTATGTGCTTGTGACACATTTGCCATGGCCAGCTTCCCGACCCTAAGACCATATAGACCCACTGAAAGGACTTTCCTGAGCACCTGCTGCATGCTCCGCCCAGAGGGGGTCACACAGACACAGCAGGTCAGAGATCTGCCGTGCCATCCTGATGCACAGAGGTCATTGGTGACTTGGGCTCACCTGCTGGTAAGACCCCACACCTCCATTTCGCAAGTGCTTCCTGTGCTGTGACCTCTGTCACCCTGTGGCAGGTGTGGGAGCCATTGGAAGAATAATGGCACAAGTCAGGGCCTGAGCACGGAGCCTGGGATTCGCTTTCAGGGATGCGCACGGCCAAGGGGGTGGGGCTGGGTCCAGCCTTGGACGTGTCAGGAGGCTTGGGCCATCCTGGCCTCTTCCTGGGATTGCTCTCCAATATGGAAGAAGGTGGCTGCTGATGTCTGGAAGCTTCTGGATTCCTAGGAGCTGTGAGGCTGGTGGAAAGGGAAGGCAGAGGTTGCCCGGGAGTACTGCGCTCTGCCCTGTGCTGCAGTGTGGCTCCTGATGGTGCCGGGCATTTCCTGAGGCTTGGGGGATGCCCCTTGTTTCTCGTAACCGCCTTTCTCTGCTCTGTCTCTTTCCCAGGCACATCTCTCTGACACTCCCTGCCACCTTCCGAGGCAGGAACAGCACCCGGACAGACTACGAGTACCAGCACTCCAATCTGTATGCCATATCAGGTATGTGGGGACCCGGCAGTGATCCGGCTGTGGCTCTGTGTTGGGTGCCACCTCCTCCATGCTGTCTCCTAGTGACACCTGTCTGTCTCACCTCCCTTTCTCCCCGAGGAGGCCCAGTCCCATCTCCACAGGAACCAGGCCTTCCCTTTCCTTTGTGTCCCCACAGGATGTAGAGAGAGGCCAAATGCTCAGCATGTTTTGAAGCTAATGATGAAAAATAAGGTGTAGTTTCCACAGGCTTGAAGGGAGGTTTCCAGAGAATACTCACCACATCGCTTACCTGCCAGACTGGGCCAGGTCCCCCTCGGGGACCCAGAACAGCACCGAGCAGAGCCGGGCCAGCTCGCGCTCCCGGATCTGAGCTTGTCCTCGCCTCTCATTTCTCATAGCCGGGCTGTGGCCAGAGGGTACACTGTGGTCTCCCCCTCACATGCCTGGAGTATGAGGCTGTGATTTCTGAACTTGGCCTTGAAATTGATAGTGTTACCTTGGCAGGAACCTCATCAACCCTCGTTTCCCTTTCACCTTCGCCCAGGGAGGGGAAAACTTAGCAGCCTTCTTACAGAATTGAGATTCATTAGGTGCCGGGCAGCACAGGTGACTTGCTGAGGGCTGGGGAGACCCACAAACTCGCCTCTGATTATCCTGGGCTGCCAGGCAGGGGCGTGTGCGTGTACAGGGGGAAGTGGCAAGTCGGTGCCACTTCCCAGCACGCACCCTTAATGGTGAGTGACATTCTGAACACGGGAACATGGCATTCATTCATGTATCGTAATGAATCGGTTATTTAAAAGGTAATCTTTTTTCTAAAAATTGCAACTTCAGGTTACTAAATAGATGAAATAGAACAATGGCATAATTCTTGTCAGTATTAGTTTCTCTCGTTATGATCACCCCCTAATAGGTTTGGAAGTATAAGCAACAGCCAGTTGTTCCATTTTGGGGCGACATTCCTGCTGGGAAGGGGAGGAACAAGGTTGTTCTTAAGCCCCCGTCCCTGGCTCAGCTCCAGAAGCCGAGGGGAGAGCAAGCATGCTTGTCTAAGGAAAGCATCTCCAGGGAGAATTTCTTTTGTACCGTGGCTACTTCACCAGAGTCGACAGGGAGCATAACAAGTGTGGAGAGATGACCTATTTTGTAGAAAAGCTGAATATTTCCCCAGATGCTTAGTGGCAGCGTGGCGCCTAACAGGCCCGAGAGATCCAGCTGGGCAGCCCTGGCCAGAATACACACAAGGACAGCTCCATCAAACAGACGACTTTGCTTCTGCGGCTTGCAAACCTCTTTGCAGCACAGTGTCAGGCAACACCCACCATCTCTGCAGTCTCTGATGGCTTTCCCAGCTGTGGCATTTCTGTGGCGCAGGGACCACAGCGAAAGAAATCTCTAGTCTGGCAGGAATGCGGCTGTCTGCCTGTGGACCTCTGCTTCCTCACTCCGAGGCTCTGATGAGGTGTTGTCTGGGTTCATTTCGGCTGTTAGTTCAGCAATACCAAGGTAACAGCTTCAAGACACAGGGGAGGCCATTCAGAAACTTCCTGCTGCATGTATGGAAGTGGCAGCCAGGGGGTTTATCTTCCAGAAGTAGAGAACTGCAGCCCACAGGGCAGGCAGCTCAAGGCTTCCGCAGTGGCTGCAGACACCAAGATGCCCCTCCAGGGTCCGACACTGTTAATTTGTGACTCTGCCACAAATAGCCCGGCCAGACGCACTGGCTCTGTGAGGAGTGCAAGCTCAGCACTGGGCAGCAAGGGCCAGACAGGGAAGCCTGCTGGCCCCAGCCCCTGCTGGCAGTCTGGCCTCCTGCCCTTCTGGCTAGCAGGAGCAGAGCCCTTGCACTCACCCCTTGTGAACAGAACTTGGCACTGAGTGGCACAGCTGAGGGAGGTGCTGGGAAGTTAGGGTTCCCAGTGCTTGATTTCAAAAACAGTTAAGGCTGAGTGTGCCCAAGGACCCATCCTGCTCGGGGTCCACACCTTCATAGCTGGGGTTCTACCAATAATGAAATGGATCATCAAAGTGTTCTTCTTGAAAAAAAAATACAAGATAGTTAAGATAATTATACTACTAATTTCTATTGGTTTATTGAAATGAATAGTTAACACGTGTTTGATCAATCTTGCATACCTTTATCTGGTACTCTGAGTAACTACTTTAATAACAATAGGTAATATAACAACCATTGTTAATTTTCTATCATCCTGTTTTGAAATTCTGTATCATTTATATTGGGGTTTTATTGGTGGCTTTAAAATTTTTTTATTCCCTTTAAAATAAAAAAAAGCATAACTCAATTTCAAAAAAAAAAGTGTTCTTCCAAACCAACACTGGCATTTTTTTCTTTGGTACGTATCGCTGCTCTAAGCCTCTGGTATAACGCTAAAGATATGGTTCCTGCTCCCTTAGTTCCTGGGCCCTCACTAAAATAAATAGGTTTCAAAGCAGTGTCATTAGAGATGTGAAAAACTGCCCATATTCAGAGCATATGTATGCTTACGTGCTTCTAACTCCTCTCTCAGTGGTGTGCCTGTGGGTGGACCTCTTTTCCTGGGCATTGCACAAGACAGTTCACCCCCACCACGCCTGCAAAGGGAGGTCCTGGAGGTACTGGCGGGAACAGTATACGGCTCTGCTCCTGGCATGCAGAGGTGGAAGTTTAGCCCGAATCTCCCTTGCGCAGGCCTTGGGGCAGGGGGTCACACTGATTTGCCACTTGAATGCTTCCAGTGTCTGGGGCAACCACCTCCACCCAGCCCACACTATCTCTATGGGATCTTTCCTTGGCAGGCTGGGCTCCGCCTTCCTGTGTATTCGTATCACTGGGAATATTTTCCAGCTGCCCTACATAGTCCAGAAGGTATTTCTTTGTTGTCCATGGAATCTGAGTAAGAAATTTTCACTGGCTCAATGCTAAAATTCTGATTGAGGATCAAAATCTTGTACCCTAATTGAAATGGACACGAGGGAAACCTTTGATTCTTATGTATTTAGTACAGGGTCTCACTACACAGATCGGATTCGTAGTGATCTTCCTGTTTTCAGCCTCCCAAGCACTTGGATTACAGATGCGCACGACCAAGCCCAGTCTCAATCCCATCTCAGGGGGTAGGGCTGGCACAGCATGCCTGGGATGGAACCCCAGTCCCTGTGTCTGCCTAAGCAGGCGCGTTAACCTGCTGACTATCTGGCCGGGCCTAAACCTTGGATTCTTACACTTCCTCTTAGAGTAGTCTCTTCTAGAAAATACTTACAGGTGTGCAAAAAGACTTGTCAACGGATGAGCACTGCTGCCTTTTCCAAAATAATACTTCCAAACCAAAGGATGGGGTGGATACATCTTAAATACTCAAAAGAAAGGTAAATAAATTCTGAAATGTCCATGCAGTGGCCTTAACTTTTCAGCTATCCTAAAAAGTGATGATTTAGATAGAAAGATGCATGTGAATATTGTGAGGTGGAGAAAAAACAGCTGACAAAACAAGAATGTTCAATGTGATCTCATTTTTAAGAAATACATATCTACATCTATATATCTATGTCTGGATGCTTCTCAAGTTTGAAAGGGTCCATACCAAGGTGTTTGCAGCGGCTGCCCCTGGCCTTTCCAATCCTCTTTTCCTCTTTGGCTTCTTTGCTATTTCTCATTTTTCTATAATAGCATGTGTTGCTTTTGTAATAAGAAAAATACAGACCTGGTGTTAATGTGGCATGTTCTTGGTAAACCCCGCTGCCCCTAATGATCAGCCATGCCTGGCTCATAATATGCTTTTGAATTTTACTGGAAATCACTTCCAGACCACAGATCGATCATTTTCTTATTGTCCCTTTTCTGAAAACATAATTTATTTCCTGTCATTTGGTCCTGTGAAACCCTGTTCACCTGCATTGCTCCGTGGTCCTCGGCTGCAGCCTCCTCCTACATCCTGCTGGCCCTGCAGACCCCACTGTCCCCACGTCTCTTGCTCATCAAGTCCCATGTACAGTTACTCTTCTCATTAGGGTTTGAGTGGTCTTCCCTGGAGGATCCCACTGCCAGAACATGCCCCTAGCCTGTGCCATTATCTACTAGTCGAGAAGGAGGGGTGTTCACATTTTTAAGTCACTAAAAAAATAAGTCATGCCAGGTGAAAATGACAAGAGTCCAAATCAAGTTGTTTCGGGCCCCAGCCTTGGCTATCCCTCTGCAGTTGTCTGTAGCTGCCTTATACTGCAAGAGCAGAGTCCTGCTGGCAGCACACTGTGGCCCACGAAGCCCGTGGCGCTCACTGCCTGACCCACTGGGCCTCCACCACCAGCCCCAGCACGGCTGCTGCTCTTCCTCAGTCCACACGTGCATGTCAAAAGCATCTTTTCTCACCGCTCTTACTTTGGGTGAGTGGCAGCCCATGCCAGTGCTTTCCCTGCTGTCCTTCCTTGCTGAGCTGAAGGAGTCTCGGGGACCTTGGGGGGCCGTCCTCAGCCAGAGCTGATTTCCACAGATTGTGCCCACACTGTCCCTGAGTGTCCTCCTCAGGACGCTTCCTGGCAGTTAGTTTTCTTTTTGAGAATACCTTTATCTTTTCTGAAAGGTCTTCTACTGTAGTCCTTGACAGGCTTTGTTTTCGTGTCTTAGAATTCTTGCTTAGATGTCTGAGAACTTATTTGCTTCTATTACTCCTGTCCCAGACAGTTCAAAGTAGCCTTATATATGGAGCTACCTTGAAGGAAAAAAAAAAAAAAAAAAAATATATATATATATATATATATATATATATATCTCAAAGTGAAATAGAAACAAGAAAATGAGTAAAAAACAAGATAGAAAAGTAGAGTATAGCCGTAGGCAGGCGTCTCTGGTTTGATTCTGCATCTGAAGACAGCCTCGGGATGGAGGAGCTGCAAATGCATTAATTACTTGGGAGGAAGCTGACTGTTCCTTTCACTGACCCTAGAAGAGAAGCCCTCCTGGGGGGCAGGTACCAGGTCGACGGGGGTCCCCTTGATGCAGTCCTTGGGAAGCC